AATACCAAATCTTTGTGAGATTTATTGATAGTGATCAGGTATAGTCATTAAAGTTATGATGAATTCATAAAATGAACTGGGAAGATTTTCATCTTTTTCTATAGCTTCCCATTTAAAATTCAGTTAAAATACAACAATGAGCTCGTGTGGTCTAGCTGCATTTTTCAAGTAGTACAGCTTTACTTTTTAAAATTTATTTAAGTATTTTATGTGTATGAGTGTATTGCCTTGCATGTATGTAAGTGCACCCATGTCGTACAATGCCCATGGACGTCGGGACATTGGATGCCCTGGAATTGGAGTTATGGATGGTTATTAGTCACCATGTGGGTGCTGGAAACCAAATCCAAGTCTTCTCCAAGAGCAGCCTGTGCTCTTAATCACCGAGCTAGCCCTATTTATTTTTGAGACAGTAGCCGGGAACTGAGCTGGGACTCACTATGTAGACCAGGCTGGTCTCAAACTCAGAGATCTGCCTACCTCTACCTCCTAAGTGCTGGGATTAAAGGCATGCGCCACCATATCTAGCTACTTTTTAAATTTTGTTATTCAAATTTTATTACAGTCAGTGGCATAGCTTTAAACTCATTGCCCTACTTATTCATGATGCAATTACCTAAAGTTTTCAGTTGTTAAAGGGACAGCTATATCTTGGTGTTCCATATTTTGTCAATTTTTTCCTCCTGAAACAGGGGATTTTAATCAAGCTTTTGTAGGACAGCTGGATTTTGGTATATATTGAACATTAATACATACACCTATAAAGATACCTGGATCTGTTGATTCACTGTGTCAGTTATTTACAGGAATGAGAGGAAAAGAACTACAAATGTACCTAAAGTACTTTTTCCTTAAGTCTAACAGCATGTGTGACAGTTAATCTGTTGTCAATTTGATATCTACATCACCTGGAAGACAGATCTCTGGTAATGCTGTAAGGGTTACTCTTTCTTGGAGGGAGAAGATCACTACGGGTGGCACCATTCCCGGGGCGGGGATCCTACACTGTATTTTAAAAAGAAACTAGAAAATGAGCCGAGCCCAAGCATTCATCGTTTCCTGTTTGTAGATGCAATGTAAACAGGTGATTCAAGCTCTTGCTGCCCTGACTTCCCCATCATGATGGATCATACCTCAAACTATAAGCCAAAATAAATTCTTCTCCCTTAAATTGCTTTTGTCAGGTATTAGGAACAGCAACAGGAAAAGAAACTAAGAGTATGTCTCCCTGCCCCCCGCCTCTGGTGCTCAGCCTTCAAAGAGAGCTTAGAATTAGTGCCGTTTCTTTCAGTTCCATTTCCCCAGAAACTTTGGTCAAAGATGATCAGATGAGCCTTTGAAAGAAATCCACATCTGGCATGGTGGCGCACACCTGTAGTCCCAGCACTTGGGAGGCAGAGGTAGGCGGATCTCTGTGAGTTCAAGGCCAGCCTGGTCTACATAGTGAGTTCCAAGACAGCTGGGGCTACAGGAAGACCCTGTCTCAAAAAGACCAAAAAAAAAAAAAAAAAAAAAAAAGAAAAAGAAAAAGAAAAAAGAAAAAAAGAAATCCCCATCTGCTACAAAGCCTGAAGAGGCTTATGTTGGCCTGAGTCCAGGCTGCTCGTTTGTTCCAAACTGCAGAATATCTGGGAGCTGTGTTCATGACACATTGTGGTTGCTCCTTTCATTCAAGTGGAAATGTTACTTATTTAATGTGTATGAATGTTTTGAATTAAGTGCACCCACACATGCAATGCCCGCAGAGGGCAGGAAATGGCATCTGACCTTGGAATTGGATTTACAGGTAGTAGCCATGTGGGTGCTGGGAACTGAACCTGGGTTCAGTGAGAGCAGCCAGAGCTCTTAACTAAGGAAATGCTTTTTTAAAATTATGGGCAGACTGTCCTATGGTAGGGTAAGGCTGAGACCTTAGCAGACAGCCTGAGGGTGCCTGTTCTGGCCTCCATCAGTGTAGGGGCTGAGATCTCAGCAGACCACCTTCTGAGAGTGCCTGATCTGGCTGTGAACTCGGCAGACTGCCTGAAAGCACCTGGATTCAGCCTCTACATGGTGTAGATGGAATACCACTGAAATGGGCCAACAGCCCATAAAAAAGATGATGCAGAGACACGAAAGTTCAGTGCCTTACCACAATGGAAGGGAAATCATCCTATACCTACCACCTCCTCCAAGGCACCAGGACTTTTTCGGTAGTTGGTGGAAAGAATGTAAGAACTGGAGTGTTAACTGGTGTCCTCCAACCACCATGCTGGCAAGCTATAGTCACACCTCCTTCCCATGCTCATCAAGGAGTCGAGGGAGGAGTCAATTACCCCTCCCACCCAATCAGTCGACCTTAGTGTATGTGGGGGAGGGCCTAAGGATATATAAACCAAGAATGCCATAAGGCACTTCTCGCCATTTTGTGTGGCTGTTGGTAAGTCATAGGATCTATATTGAAGTGTGGACTTTCCAGTGCAGCCGTAGATGGGGGGCACCCACTCTTCTGTAAGTAAACCCCCACCCTATGCTGTTAGCAAGCCAATAAACTAGGATTTAAAAAAAAGAAAAAAAAAAGAGGTAATGGAAACCATTATTCCACCAAAGTTGACCCCACGTTGGCAAATCCCATGGTCTTGATCTTTTTTTGTTGGGGGGGAGGGTCTCCCTGTGACCCCAGGTGCCCTGGAGTTTGCTGGGTCGACTGGGCTGACCTCGAGCTCACAGAGATCTGCCAAACTCTGCATCCTAAGTGCTGGACTGAGGATGTGTGTCACCAGGCCCGGCTTTAGTCTTTGATTTCTTAACCATACTTTCCACCCTTAAACTTCATGTGTATGTATTTTTATGTAGCCTGCTTCAAGTTATTTCTGGAAAAATGTGTTAAAAATTGCTTCTTTGATGGGCCAGGCATGGTGACGCACGCCTTTAATCCCAGCACTTGGGAGGCAGAGGCAGGTGGATCTCTGTGAGTTCAAGGCCAGCCTGGTGAGTTCCAGGACAGCTGGGGCTACAGGGAGACCCTGTCTCAAAAAGACCAAAAAAAAAAAAAAAAAAATTTCCTCTTTGGAATAAATAATTCTTCAAAAAATTATGTTTAATTGCCTGTATTTACTGTGTGCAGGCACACACATGCCACGGTACCAGGGCACGTATGTGGAGGGTATAAAACAACTTCCCACAGTTAGTTCTCTATACCATGTGTGTCCCAAGGATTAAACTCAAGTTGTCCAGCTTGGCAGCAAGCACCTTTACCTGTTAGGCTAATGAAATGGTTCCTTTTTCATTCTACATGAGGATTTTTTATTTATTTAATTTATTGTCTTTTTGAGACAGGGTCTCCCTGTAGTCCCAGCTGACCTGAACTATGTAGACCAGGCTGGCCTTGAACTCACAGAGATCTGCCTGCCTCTGCCTCCCCAGTGCTGGGACTAAAGGCGTGCGCCACCACTGTTTGCTTTTGTATGTGCTCTTGTACTTGTGTGTTCAGGTGCTCATGCATGTGATTTGGGGGAGATTTCCATGGATTAACAGAAGTCCCTCAAAAAGCTAGAAACAGACCCTATCATATGATCCAGCTATACCACTCTTGGGCATACTTTCTAAGGACTGGAGAGCCAGGTCGGCAGTTTTAAAGAGTACACACTGCTCTTCCAGAGTTCAGTTCTTAGCACCCATATCAGGTGGCTGACAGCTCCAGAAGACCCACCCTCTTTTGGCCTCTACCAGAACCCACATGCATGTGTATACCTGCCTCCAACACACACACAATCTTAAAAAAAATAAACTCTTTTTTAAAAAGGTGTGTGCCTGGGGCTACATATATACAGCTCAGTGGCAGAGCCTGCCTAGCATGTTTGAGGCCTGGGGCTTCAATCTCCAGCCCAAAAACAAGGGAAGGGGGGGATTTCAAACTAAGAATTTTTCTAAAATTGAAGTGATACATGTTTACTCCCATACTCTGCATGTTCTAACTCTCCCAGCACACATTGGGGCAGTGCATATGGCTTATTTTCAGCCACAGTATGGCCCTTGCCTTATTTTTTGACAAAAATTTCTTGTACCGGGGTTTGAAACTGAGGTCTTATGAAGCTAGACACTAGTGCTCTACCATTGAGCCATATCCCCAGCCCTTTACTGGCCTCAATTTCACTCGTCCTTATGACCGGGGGGTGGGGGGTGGGGGCTCGAGAAACACTGATAAGTGTTCGTCCCGGATGCTCTTTCTAGCTCCATGCTGTACCGTCCGTTCAAATCCACATTTTCCAGATGATAGAAACGCTAATGTGGAGAGCACACTCACCCACAGCTCTTCCTTCCAGTCTAAAATCTTGCTTGGCTCTGATGAACTCAATTTGATCTAAGCACTCTCTGAAGGGGCAATTGCTTTCAAATTTTATCACACAAATAAGAGTAGCTCCCCCAAAGAAAGGGATGCTGTATTCAGAACCAGAGGAAAGGAGTCTTTAATCTTAATTCATACCACATCCAACACTGCAGAGTGCTTCTAAAGAGTAGTGGCAACTTTCATTTTTTCATCCAATTCTCTGCCAAGTGCTCTATAAGACACTTTATATAAATCACCTCAAATTCTCCCCCAAATCCTGCGAGGTAGTAACTGTCAACCAATTTCAAATGAAATAACCCACTCAGAATAGTTTGGTAAAATCCATCCAGTTCCAGAACTTTTAATGCTTTAGTTTTGCTATTTTTTTTGAAAATACAAAATAATTTCATCACACTAAAAAATATAGCAAATGTTGAAATTAGTGAACAACCAATAAAAACTAACACAAGCGGCAATACAATGGTTTTATTATGAATTTTCCTTCTGAAGAAAAGTCATGCTTTCTTGTATATATATGTGTGTGTATGTATGTGTGTGTATATATATATATATATATATATATGGATTTGTGGAATGTTAGGTTATCAAAACATCAACTGAATAACAATTTATTGAAGGCAAGTTAGGCTAAACGGGGACAGAATTTATAACCGAAAATATTCATAGCAGCAACTTTCAAAAGATGATTTTATTAAAGTCATTGCACTTGGTCATGTTATTGCTACAGCACAAGGCCATTACATCATAACACTTCTTGTTTCTGATTTTAACTGATTGTCTTGTTCTTGTACATTTCAAGTTTAAATGCAAGCATAAAATATTTATCCAAAAAAATCAATAGAGCACTTGGAAATTTTTGTCTGTGATCACAGTAAGAAGTATTTAAAAGGAGAATCTTCTGTTAGACCAGGCCTTTCTCTCTCTACATCGTCACTTTCCTGTGAGGTCCTGCACAATTCTATAGAGGTAACAGCTTTATAGTAACACAGAAGCTTACTGGTCACACACAAAACAACATGGAAATTCAATTAGAAACCTAGTAGCACTGTTTCAAAGAACAGCAAGTCTGAACCATGCATTTACTAATAATTTGGCAAAGACAGACTTGTGCTGTCTTTTATACTCATATGGGGGGCGGGGGGTAACGTCTTACCTCTAGACGTTATTATTACATATCATTTTGTGATGCCAACTTTAAGGAATAGTAATTATTCACATCAAGAGCAAACACTGGTAAATTACTGTATTAAAGGAATCAATTTTCCCTTTAAGTAACAAGCTCACTTGATTTTCCTTAACTGCTCTGTCAAGGGCAGAGTACACACCCAGAGGAGTGCACAGTTCACTATTCTGCAGGAGTAGGGAAGGCCAGAGCTTCGACCTCAGTACTCAGCACCACTGATACACTAGTGAAACATGTCCAGAAACGCACACACACATCCCAATACACACACCCCAAAGTATGTTTTACTTGTTTTTTGTGGGCATAGGACCATGACACAGCTTGGCCTGGTCACAAATTCATGATTTTCTTGCCTCAGTCTCCTAAGTGCTGGAATTCAGGTACACTGTCACCAAGTATAGTTAGTTCAAAAAGAACTTTTAAGAACAGCTTGACCTCTACTAGAACCTGCTCCCTTCCCAGCAATGTGGGGTGCAAACAGCAGCTCTTCCAGTGGGGAAGTTAGAGAATGAGTTCTAGGATGGAATGTTTTACTTTTATCTAAGGACAGTCATTAAAGAACCAATTTATTTAACAGAGAGCAAAGAATCCATTTGACTAATCATTTAAAAATCAAAATAAAATGGAATGATTTTGTTCAGTAATAACCACTCATTAGATGATCCAAAACTTGAAATGGCTAAGATGGCTAGGCACAGTGGGGTACACGTGTAATCCCAGCGCTTGGCAGGAAAAGGCAGGAGGATTGGGAATTCAAGGTCATCTGCAGCTAGGTAGCAAATTCGAGTCTAGCCTGAGATACATAAAACTGTGTCCAAAAAAAAAAAAAAAAAAAAACTAAGCTAAACTAAAATACACACACTTGATACAAAATTAGCTCTCTATCCCCAGAAGTGAAATTTAAGCATAAGTAAATCTGTATTGGCAATTCTATTATTTTCTACTTCAGTTCTCTTTTATTTGAAGCAAAGCAACAAATTTAATTTACAAATATTTTTTCTGTTTTAAGACTAAAATGTAAAGGAAAAATAATTGGTTTGGTAGTTTTTTTTTTTTCAAAAGGAAGCAGGATAACTCACAATATGACACTCATTTACTATAATAAAGCTAAAGATCTAAATTTTTCACAAGTATAAAAAATTTCAAAATTTTTACATTAACCCATGTGTTTTTAGACATGCTGCCTGCCCCCAACAGATATAATATTTTTAAATACCCAACTGTTCATATGTGGTGCTAAAGAAACTGCTAATTCGTTCATTCTGAAATGCATTTTTAATACAGTCTATTATATTTGGTTTGGATAACCTATGTTATTTTATGAAATATTAATACTCTTTCTAAACATTTTGCCTAAATTAACAGTCCAAAATATCCCTAGGAGTTTATTTGGTCTATTAGATAAATTACGTCTGTAAAACCTGAGGTTCTGAAAAGATGAAAAGGTTTGGGGTTTGTTTCCTAATAGTACCATTACTAAAATTAGAGGGAAAGCACAAAGCACTAAATACAAGACAGTGAAGTGAGTAATACTTAGGACTGTAAAATAAGCACAAACATACAGCAAGAGGCTGGTGTTTACAGAGTTCATATGTACTGTAGTTTCAGGCACAAGAACTAATCTGACATTTTTAGATTTCTTAGATCCCATAAATTTAAAACAAAATTCACTGTTTCCCAAAGTTTAATTCCAGTACATTTTAATAAAATTCCTTTTATGAATCCTATAATAGTGCAAGCATTATAAAACACTCTAAAAGTTGAAGTTATTTACTATTTAATTAATTATTACTATACGCATGGGTGAATAACCTGGTTTATAGCTAGGAAACTCCTGTTTCATCACCCAAAATATAAACAGCACTGCAGACAAACAGGCACAACAGTGTAATCCCCGGTAAGAAGCTAAAAGGAAATGTATGTGTGTGTGTCTGTGTGTATACACATATATATACTCACACATAAATTTTATATCCCTTATTATGGGAAAGTAGTGACTTTAGTTACTATAAAGCTAACTTGTCCCTCTCAAATAGTTTATCTTACAGATTATTTGTAAAGATATTACCATATTTATAGTATAGACCTCTTTAAAAATAATACTACAAGTCTCAATAAAAAAACTATTGTGAACTTTCCTTTTTATACAGATTCAGTAGTATTTTCAAGCAAACGACAACAAAAATGTTTGCAATCCCAGCACAGTAAGAATTAAGGCCTCTTTTTTTTTTCATATTGGCAAAACAAAATATATAAAAATTTTCACTCCCCTAACTGTCAACGGATATCAAAGTTCATAGCCTTATGTCTCATTATCACAACACCAGCATTTGTTCTCTGTAACAAGTCAGCTGAAGTTTGTAGTGATGCTTCTAAATCCCTGGAACATTAAGAACACTGTGTTCGCATGACCTCAAGAAGACAGGATAGCTTTCTTCAGCTTTTCTATTTCCACCTAAAATATAAAACATAAATTGGACAATATAAAATGCTTTTAGTAAGGTTTAAGTTAGCATAGCATTACCATGTGACCACATTTTCAAGCCTCTAAACTTTGACTTCTGTATCTAAAGTCCAATTACTCGGCGTGCAAAAAAATAGTATTGTTGAATAAAAGTATCAATAGCAAATGTAGCAATGCAAGTTCCTACAGGAACAATGTTAAGCAATGCTCACATTTGAATTAAGCAGTATAGGAAAAATCACACACACACACACACACACACACACACACACACACGGAGAAGCAGAGAGAAAGCAGAGAAAGCACAATGCATCATCCCTGAGCCATGACAAACCTTTCACAAGGCGGTAATGGTGAAGGACACACTCGAGGTGTGCCCTCAGCAAATATAACCTAAAATGCGTGGGGTTAAAGACAACTGAGATTGGATGTGCCGGGACATGCCTGTAATCCCAGCTCGAGGGAGGCCGAAGGCAGGGATATTACAGTGGGTTTGAGAGCACTCTGGGCTATACAGTAAGGGGAGGTAGGGTGAGAACTGTTTCTACCTTATAGCAAATAGACCCAAATGAAATAAAACAACTGGAGTAGATCAGGAGGGCAGCTAGGGAAGAACCCACACACATTAGTGTCTCAATGTGTAGCCCTGACTGATCTGTAAAGCTTGCTACACAGACCAGGTTGGCGTCAACTCACAGAGGCTTACCTGCCCCCCTCCCAAGTATTGGGATTAAAGGCACACATCAGGCTAGGTCTTTGTTTTTTAATAAGGGGTACAGGGGAAAATGAGTATTTTCATACAAAGGTATCAAAAGAGACTTGTCAGATATAAATGGAGTTCTGACAATTTACAAAGTATTGTTACCATAACATACACTACATCTACTAAAGTCACAGAAGGCTAAGTGACTCCCACAAGTTCATACAGGGTAACGACTCCTAAAAAATAAAGGTTTTGAACTCTGTTTCTCTTAAAAACTGAATTTCCTCTACCATTGTCAGTCTAAATGCTGGTTTCCCTCCTCTTTATAGCAGGAGCAATGACCCTTGCAGACTACTAGAGTGTCCAGCAAGACCTAAGCCTACTTGATACATAGTTTAAAACTGAAAGAGCAGCCCTTGCAAATCAGGAAGTTTAGGAAACATACTGCAATATACTCCAACAAGGTAAAAAGGTAGAGGGGACAAGGTGATGAAGAAGGCCTCTGAAAAAGACAGAATACAATTTCCCCTGATACACACAGAAACAGATGAAAGGAAGAAAGTCAGTGAGGAGAAAACATTAAAGAAGATAAAGGAAACTGAGTAAAATTTCCATCAAACACAAATCAGTCCCACAACCAGCTTGGCCCTGGAGGCAAAAAAAAGAAAAGGAAATATATATATAAGTGAAAAGAAAAAGAAAACTGTAGATCTAAGAATTAGATACCACGGGGGCAAGAGCTATGTTTATTTTATTCAAAACTAGATACCTCTAGATACCCTGTAGTTCACAAACTGTACTGCTCCGAGTTAGCACTGAAAACTTTTCACTGAGCTGGGGACACAGTTCAGTAACTAAACACTTCCTAGCATACACAAGGGCCTATGTTTGATCCCCAGCCCTGCAACAAAAAGTTCTTATGAGGGGTATAAATAAAGTGACAGACAGCCAACAAGAGACTTAGTAACTTGTAATCGTGCAGTTCATCTGAGGGAGGCGAGCATAATTTCTAGTAGAACCAACCACAGTTGGGAGGAAACAACCACCTGACACGTTCTAAATCGAAATGCTGCAACACAAGAACTGAATTACCTCTAGACTGCTCCTCATCACCTTCTCCTCTTCTAAATCTTTGCGCAGTTTTTCCAGTTCTCTCCTAAGAGCAAAGGAGTACTGTTAGGTCTTCCAATTAAGCAGTTTATGTGAGTCACGTTAACAGAATCTCTTTACTACTAGCCTCCTAGCACATGAGAAACTTCCTAAAAGGAATGGCCATGCTAACTTAGAAATGTTTCTAATTCTTTTGTTCCAGTAGTTCAACTTAGTTGAAAAAATTTAAAGCACCAAAACAGTGACAAATGTGCCTGAGTTAAAAAAATAAATTCAAAACTACTTATGACAAAATAGAGAAAGAATACACAGCTTTCAAAAGCAATTCTTCATATTTGTCTACATGCATTTTATAAGCTGAAGACTCCTGAGCTCAACTGATAAATGACTGTGAGCAAGTTACACTACAGGGCAAATCAGTGTATTTCATAAGTTAATGGGAGCTGCAAGTTTCTATTAGTTCAGCCAATAATCTTTTTTTAATCCCATGTTGTGCAATGCTGCGGAGGTCAGAAGAGGGTGTCGGATTCCCCTGGAACTGGAGTTAAGGACGGTTTGTAGCCACCATGTGGGTGCTAGGAATTGAACCCGGGTCCTCTGCAAGAGCAATCAGTGCTCTTAACTGCTGAGCCATCTCTCCAGCCCCTCAGCCAATAATCTTTAACTCATGTCATTTTTTTCAGCATTTCTACATAGTCATTCTATAATTATATATTCTATATTATGGCTTTTCAGAAATTATTTTAAAACATTTCAAGACTGTTAAAATTCATGTTCCTTTCTTTTATTTTTTTAAAGAGTCAGCAAAAGTTTATTTAGCAAAGAAAAAGTAAACCCCAAAAGCATGGAGCAAGCTGACTCGAGGTGGATGGAGGGCAGTATCTTAAATTTTTCACATTATAATTACTATTGATATACCTATGTTTTTATTTGGTTGGCTTTTTCTGGGATCATAGAAAATAAGAGGGACAGGGATCAAAATGTACACTTTTTTGCCTTCTAACATACCCTAAAAAAACTCGCCTAAAGAGTAATGTAGGCCGGGTGTGATGGCACACGCCTTTAATCCCAGCACTTGGGAGGCAGAGGCAGGCCCTCTCTGTGAGTTCAAGGCCAGCCTGGTCTCCATAATGAATCCAGGCCAGCTGTGGCTACATAGGGAGATCCTGTCTCAAATACACCAAAAAAAAAAAAAAAAAAAAAAAAAAGTACTATAGAAAAAAAGCTTGAAAAACCTATTTTAAAAAGGCAAGAAAGGTTTGTCTTCCTCAGTCAACCTCTAATACAGATGAGAGAGGTGCTCATAAAGCCCTGACCACAGCTCAGGAGCTCAGGAGATACTGCTTTGACTGTGAGGAACAGTCAGTTTTCTTCAGGGTGTGGCCCCTGGTGGGTAAGCAAAGCACCCATGAACCGGCGCCACATTCAAACACAGTCAGGCAGCACTAATTGTTCTCAAATGGATCATTTGGGAAAAAAAAAAGAGAGAGAACATGGAGTTGGGAGGGGAACATGGGGGTGGTGAGGAGTTGGGGGCAGGTAGTGGGAAGAAGACATGATCAAAATAATTATAAAACATATAATAAAGAAACTTTAAAATGTTTTTATATTTCAAATTAGTGGTTCAAAATGAATTATTTCTGTTGCTTTAATAATGGGAAAGTCATTTCTTTATATTGAAAGCAAACTTTGCAGGACATGGTTTGACACATCCCAGAACTGGGGAGGCGGAGGCAGGTGGATCGCCATGAGTTTGAGGCCAGCCTGGTCTACATAGCAAGTTTCAGGCCAGTTACGGCTACATTGTGACCCAGTGGGAGGGGACCTGATCCACCTCCCACTTCAAAGACTGACATGTTGCTGCATGCAGCCACACGGTATATTTCTCAATTAATATTCCAATGTATATCTACTCATTTTCTTAACTGATGTGTTGTAATTTTAACTTTAAAAAAACCTGCCATCCACCTTTATTTTTTTCAGAGGAACTCAAATGTTGAAAATAATCTTTGAAAAGATTTCAAAAATAGATAGATAATTCCGAAACATCTTACTCATCCTATAGATAATTTAAGAGCACCAAAAGGCAATTTGTGTATCTAACCGCTACTTCATTAAAAAGCATAAACATGGTGGTATCTGCCTGAAAACCAGGTTGTCCTTATCAAGTTAAGGCAGGAGGATCAGGCGTTCAAGGTTATCCCCAACAACATAGTAAGTTTGAGAGCTGAAGGCAGGACTGGGCTAGATGAGACATTATCTCAAAAAACAAACATGAACAAAAGCAGTGCACTTGGTATCAACTGTGTCTAACAACAAAATTCTTAAGTCAGGAGAGTTCTCTAACTGGTGGGAGGTAGCCAACATTTACTGAGGGATGAACTTACAGCTTCTACTGTGTACACTGCAGAATCTGTGAACTCTCAGATCAGATTAACTGAAGGATCCATATCAAATAACAAAATCCATCATCACAATATATACACTATATAATAATATATGAAGTATAACAAACATATAAGGTAGCTATTCAAATTAAAGTCTTTGTTTACTGGGCTACAGAGATGGTTGCAGTTAAGAGCACTGGCTGTTCTTGCAGAAGACCCAGGTTCAAATCCCAGCACCCATATGGCAGTTAATAACTGTCTGTTATTCCAGTTCCAGGTGATCCGACACCCTGTTCTATCCTCCACGACCAGTGAACAACATGGGTGCACTTACATACACGCAGGCGTAACACTTTTACACATAAAATAAAAACAAATTTTAAAAAAATTTTTGTTTCCTTCTATGAGTTATTGGTAAAAGTGGTCTACAGACTAAGCATTTTATGTTGTCATACCATTTTTTCATAAAGAATTCTAGACCAAAGGGTAGAGACAGCTCAGGTTAAGAGCACTTGGCTGGGCTGCTCTTCCAGAGGACACATTCAGTTACCAGCACCTTCATGGGTGGCTAACAATCAGTTCCAGGGGATATGATGCCCTCTACTGGCCTCCAGAGGTATTGCATGCACGATATACATACATGCAGGAAAAATACTCATATTGTAAAATAAAAATAAATCTTAAAAAATTCTAGGCTGGGCTGGAGAGATGGCTCAGCAGTTAAGAGCACTGGTTGTTCTTGCAGAAGACCTGGGTTCGAATCCCAGCACCCACATGGCAGCTAACAACTGTCTACAACTCCAGTTCCAGGGGATCCGATGGCCTCTTCTGTCCTCTGCAGGCATTGCATGACACGGGTATACTTACCTACATGCAAGCAATACACATATACACATAAAAATAATAAAAAAAAAATTCTAGGCCAACTAAAAATTGATAGAGAAATGATTAAAATTAGACTAAAAGTAACATAGCCTCTGGTCTTGAGTTTTACACATTTTTCCAAGAAATCCTTTTGAAGAGGGGACAGAGACTTGGTAGGATGAACACTCTAGCCTTCAGTTCAATTACATTAACTTATCTTTGATCTGTTTAACCTACCAAGCTCCTGCAAGAGTGTGCTTAAAATAACATATCTTAAAAATAGTAAGTTACAGAAAAAGTCTATAATCATCCAACAAAAGATGTGTGGTTGGGTTTTAGCTCTACAGTTCAAGAGCTGTGTAATCACCAGGTAAACAGTTTTACTTCTGAGTCCTGATTTCTTATTAAAACAGGAGGGGAGCTGTAATAGAGTATCTCTTAAAAAAAATTTTGGCTTTGAAAAACCCCTAAACTTTCAATTAGGGATGTCCCACTGTAAATCCCAATAAAAACTTTCAGGGCTGTCAACATAGGTCAGTGGTAGAGTGCTTGCCTAGTAAGCACAACAAATTGGGTTTGGTCCACACCACCCCACAACACAAAATTTCAGAGTTATCAGAAGAGCTTTAGAGATCACTTATGGGTCAGGACCCATTCATTATACATAACTATCTAATGGAACCCTCACAGAAATAGTGGTCACAGTCCTCCTAGAGGTAAGTTTGAGTACCTGGAGATTTATACTGTATTTAAAATATTAATAAGAGTTTTCTTAATATTTTCAAGACCAATTAACTCCTGTGCCTGGCCACTTCTCACCTAAACATTTAAGTACAGATTTCTGTAATGAGTTTTCCAATTCAACATTTTGGCAAAAGAACTGTTTAAATAAATGTCTTTGACAGTAACAGGAATGACAGAATATATGGGCTCCTGTGGGGGGGGGGTGCATTATGGGAGGGTGACATTGGTGTTTTGGGGATGTCTGTATGAAATACACACACACACGGGAAAAAAAATCAATAAAAGAAAAACAATATTTTTTAAGTGTCTTTGAAAACGTCTGTTTGTTTATACCAAACTTGGCAGATTAGATCTTTGATTGAGAAAGTTTGAAAAATTGAATTCTTCACATATTTTCTTGGATGAAACATCTGGCACTTACCCGTGATCCTTTTTCAGTGCGTCTACAATACACAGTAATTCAACAATCTGGGCTCTAAGTTCATCCAGGGAATCTTTTTTCTCATTATCTGCTTCTACTTTTGCTTTGATTTCTAATGGAGTTAGGAAAGTGGATGTATTTATTTTAGAAGCACTTGAAGGTGTTGAAAGAGATGGCTGAAAAACATGAAGAGTTTTTTTGTTATGATTGTACTTATATTTAATATTATATTTAAACACAGAAGATTTTATTTTGTTTTGGTGTTGATTTGTGACAGGGGGCCACATGTAGTCTAGGCTGGTCTCTAAGTATGGGGGATCACAGGCATGTAGGCTGGCCTTGAAGTCCCTATATAGCTGAGGATGACCTTGAACTTCTAGTTCTCCTGCCACTGCCTCTCAAGTACAGAGGTTACAGACACTGTTCAGGTTCCACAGTGCTAGGGACTAAAGCCAGGGCTTTGCACAGGATAGGCAATCACTCTCAACTGAGCTACATCCCCAGACCATAAGATTTTTATAGCAAGAATAAAAACAATTAATGTAATACAGACTAAGCATTTGGAATCTGAAAATCATTAACCTTAAAACTGTTTACCCCAACTTCATGAAATGGGTTGAAGTCAAAATGCAGGCATGCTTCAATGTGGGTAAGCAAATGAATTTTATGTTTAGCCTTAAGTTCTGGCCCTAAAATATATAGAATTATATATTTTCAAATTTTCCAAAATTAAATAAATATCAAATATGTTTAACTTCAAGCATTTTGGAAAAGGGATATTCATGTTATGCTTCAGTATAAATGTGAAACTTGGAAATTCTAAAAGCAATTAGGTGTTCATCACTGGAAAAACTCACAAGAGTAAATCTGAAATCACTAGTGGGCTTATGAAAATGTCAATGACTTTATTTTTAAAAAGAACAAAGAAAACAATCCATCAGTTTATCTAATGGATAATTTGCCTAGATGAACATTAAAGTGTTATTTTGATCTCCTTTATTGTTTAAACTATCCAAAGCATCACTTAAAAGCAATTATGAAGCGTTTGGTAAGTTCATACGAGACATTAAATAAGTCCATGGCCTGGAACTCTTGAGAATTTCATTAAAATAAGCCATTTTAGAAAAATTTAAATAGACCCATTGACCATGTAGAGAATCGGATTAAATGTATTTGATAAACTAGAAAAGTGTCCAAAGATCCTAAAATGAAAATAAGGACTAACTGAGGAGGAAACAGGACATTAAGTATATGTGCAAGTTATAGCAAAACTACCTTAAATAAAAATAGCATTAGCTTAGCCAGGTACGGTGGCATACACCTTTAACCCCAGAATTCAGGAAGGGTAGAGGCAGGCTGATCTCCATGAGATTGCAGCCAGCATGGTCTACACAGCAAGTTCTAGGCCAGTTGGGGCTACAAAGTGAAATTCTGCACCCCCCAAAGATAGAAACACACCATGTAACTGAGGGACCCATGTGATCTGCACTCACTCCAGTGCATACCGAATACTTGAGGATGCCAAGAACCAGACTAAACAAAGAGTAAACAAATCATGATTTTCAATGTGCTACCCTTTAAGTGATTAGGTTAATTATGTGAGCTGAGCATAGTCTCACATGCCTGTAATAGTAATGCTCAGGAAGTGGAGGCAAGAGGATCAACACAAATCTGAGGGACCCTACACAGAGAATTACATCCTGGCCACAGCCACATAGTGAGACCCTACCTCAAAAGAAAACAAAACAAGCCCCTCTTTATTTTATGCGGGCTAACTAAGAACGTATGTTTACTAAGAAAACAGATATATAAATTTATGTCTTGAAAAATATGAAACATGTAGCATATTCTTTAACTTATGTAAGCTCGTCTATTAAAAAACTGACGAGAGGGGCTGGATAGATGGCTCAGCGGTTAAGAGCACTGACTGCTCTTGCAGAGGACCCAGGTTCGATTCCCAACATCCACATGGAGGCTACAAACCATCCTTAACTCCAGTTCCAGGGGAATCTGAAGCCCTCTTCTGACCTCCGCGGCTTTGCATGACACGGGTGCACTAAAAATAAATAATAAAAAGCTGACGAGAACAGTGTGACAAGTTTATTCAAACAAAGTTTCAACAATAATTTTATTTCTTGACAAAAGAATAACTTTTCTTAAAGGGCGCCAAAGAATCCTAGAAATCATATTCAAGTCTTGGGCAATAAAGTATCTCACCTTTGGAGAGTAGCTTTCCTTTTTAAGCTCAGATGGCTTTAGGTTGGCACTATCTTCTTCTTTTGGTAACTTCAAGGTTTTTTCTGGGCTCTGAGTTGGCTAAATGTTTGGCATTTTTTAAAAAAAATCAAGCGACAGAACAGACTTTTTAAAAAAGAAAGCGCTAATAAGCATTGCAAAATACAGCTAATACTTTCACCACTTAGCGGCTACTGTTCCTGCTCCTCCACTGCTGTTAACAAGAAGTTACATAACTTCAAACTGAATAATACATTGGCAAAACCAGCTTTCCCCACAGCAACAAATTTTTCCCAGTTAGGTCATTTAAAAGCACAAAAGTGGGCTGGAGTAATGGCTTAGCAGATAAGAGCTCATACTGCTCTGACAGAGGACCTGAGCTTACTTCCCAGAACCCGTTAGGTAGCTCACAACCACCTATGACTTGAGTTCCAGGGGCACTGGACACCTCTGCCCACCCTCTCCCCCCACCCAAGCAACTGCACTCACATACACAAACCCACACACATATATAACTGAAAATAATACCATAAATCTTTTTTAAAAATGCTTCTTAGCTAATATATTAATACTGGTGTACATTTATATTCCTGATGAAAAAAAAAAAAAGACACCAAAAGAAGTTACTCAAGTATGAGGGCACATACTACAAAAATCATGACTGTATCAGGAGAAAAAAAAATCCCACTCTTTCTTAAAGTATGTATTTTTCTGCTCAGTTCTAATCATTAGTACTAGATGGGCTACTCTGTGCTCTGGGGTAATAATCTCAAGACAACTTCTTATTTCTGATTCTGTGACTTTTCATTCCAGACCCTGTGAATTAAACACATCTCTTTTTCTATATTTCTTAAATATCTGTCGCTTGAGCACAAAGCTGTCTTCCTAATTTTTAAACTTAGATCTGGCTATAAATCGATTCATTCTCATATTCAAGGGGACTCTGTATTTTCTTAATCTTCATGTTTTCCTATAGCAAGAATAACTCACAGAATGTCCACCATTGAAGCGGCCAGGCAACCTTCTTCCAGGCATCTTGGGTCTATTTGCAGTGAGATGTAACAAGTTCTCAGAGGAAGCTATGTCATCAAAATTTACAATGTCTAGAGAATAAAAATAAGTATTGTCTACTAAGAGGTAGCTATTCCTTCTAAAAGACAAGTAATAACATTTATTTTGTTAAAACTATAAATTAAAAAGTACCACTAAGTTGAAGAGCTCACAAGGTGATCTGTGCTTCACATATGCATTTGGCTTTACTGTTGTTTTGTTTTGTTTTGCTGAGATTGGGTTCTCATTAACTACCTTTCTACATAATACGGCATGATTTTTAAAAAGCCAAAACAATATAATGTAAGGATTATGTTTCCAAGCCAGACCTCAACACAAAGTTATTGAAAGAAATCTGTACCACAGACTGCAGTAGAATAAAAATGTCATTTTAGGTTCTCATATATATTTTTAAAAATCTACTTAAACTCAATTACGACATACAAAAATTTTACATATAAAATTTGTTTTAAACTTCATGCTGTGGACTAATATGAAATTTGAAGGACTAAACTATATCTAGCATCCTGTTGCCTTCCATTTACAATTCTCAATATAAAGTGGAGGCACGATTTAATACAAAAATATCCATGGGCTATTATAGTCGGAACCCAAACAATGCTTAGACATTACCATAAACAAAATCTCATCAGCTAGTTATAAATCTAAGGCAAATCAGATACCAAGGATAAATGCTACATAGATCACTGATTTGTTTCTCTGTCATCAAAGGCTAGTTGACCTCTGATCCAATAATTTGTGTTAAAGGACAAGTCAAGTTAATGCATACTTCTTAAACAGTGGTATATACTGCCTTGAGTTTTTTAGATGAGCCAGAAAACTGTGAAGGAGTTTATAATTCCGAAGTTCAAGTATCAATACATAACACAAGAATCTTTTGTAAATTCCTGATACTACCATAGTCAATGTTACTTCCTGTAGCTCAAACTCCAAACTAGGAATATTAGTAATAGTCAAAATATTTTCCATGGCAGCATATATTTTTGCCTTATCTTCCAGGTCTGCATTCAGCTTTCACATCACCATCTACATGATGGTTACAAGACTTCCTATCAGATACTGCAATGTCCAAATTTGGTGATTTGTTAGTTCTTTATTAAGGCATATATGTGCTCATAATTCCCCCCAAGTTTAAAGTTAATTCCTCAAACTTTACATTTAGTGATCTACAGAATTTTCTTTTTCCAAGATGAAGAATACAAAGGTAAGGCCAAAAAAAAAAAAAAAAAAAAGGCTTCACTTTGGAAATTTGTACTTTATAACTAGAAGCACTGGTTGAGTATTGTTATCTTTTTTCCCCACAGATAACTTTGTGTGTTCTATCTTGTATGAGGTCACTAAGCTAATATTTCAATATAAACCCTCTAATAAGATCAGTTTAATTTTCTGATCTTTTCATTACTTGTCAATAACTATAAAATACAGCAAGCCATAGGAAGAAACAAGTGACTTTAGTAGAGAATGTATTATATAGTCTAAAAAAGGTTTAATTTAAATTAAGTATATGTCATTCTATTTGTAAATATATTAAAGAAAATAACTGGTATAGCAAAAGATGTTAAAGTGATAAATGTGTACTGACAACCTACAAAAAAAAAATCTTTGAAAAGTAAAAGCCAATCATTCTGGCCTGCAGAGATTATTTTCAAATGCATATTTAAGCAACTGGCAGAAAGAAAAAAAAAAAAAGCATGGACAAAATCAAAGAGAAATGAAACTGAAAGGGTGAATAAAATGCAGATTTACAAAGTATATTCAAGTGTATTCATAAGCATGTAAGTTTATCTTTGCTATGTCCAGTTTGGGGATGCAACACCAAGACAACTTCACCATTCTTAAACTCTCTCAGGTTCTCCATTTAAGCCATTAGGTGAGAAAAATGGAACAGTGCACATTTTGAACACATGATGCTTCTAAATGCTTTAAAATTCATCTGAGCAAAATTTAGCAACAGATTTTCACTATGAAAATGGCCTAAGAGGCAAGTTATCAACTCCTGCAACCACATCTGTCACTGACAGCCACTTACATTCCTGTATATTCTGAGGAAGACATGCAAAGTTTTTTATAAAGTCAAGTGAAACAGCCAATTATGGAAGAAAATCTGACCTTTATGGTTGCAAACTTTTTGGAAATCTTTTATCAAGAGTATTTTAAACTATAACCATGAAAGACTTCCAAAAATAAACTTGATTTTCTTTCAAAATGGAAAACCAAAAGGGTTAGAATAAACCAACAAACAAACATGTACACTTTCAGTAAAATTACAAAGAAAAAGATAATGTGCACCACCTACTTATACTGAACATACTACTTTGATTTCTTTTATAAATTGGTATCTTACCAAAATGGAGAAGGGTAGGATAATTTCCTGACACGTAAGAAGGGAGGAAACATGGCAAACAGGCTAGGAAACAAAATCTGGAAAGAAAAGTCAAGGATAGGAATGTCTAGAAAAAAGACTAAACCAAAAAAATTATTTTACAAAGCAGGAAAAAAAGAACAGTTGTAGAATGAACAGAAGCATTTCAATGTTTGAGCACATAACTACTGCAGGTTTTCTAAACTTATGAAAGGTTGTGTATTAGATTTTAGATTTATTCCGTTGTCTTTTAAAATGAAAGTTTAAGATTATTATTAAATTCAATATACAGTATGATAAAAAGAAGCCTTGTCCATTACTCACTGAACAATACCAAGACAGTTTCTAAAGGATAGCTTATTAGTTTAAAAGGCCATGAGTGCAAAGCAATGTACTCACATCTCATAATATAGTTTTAACTAACATTAGACTACCTTTAGTCAAGTTCTAGAATTTGGTACAATACAGATATTACAATAAAGAGGTGATTTTATTTCATAATATTGTGAAATAAAATATGCCAAATATTATTTTCAAATGCCTCACCATAAAGTTTGACTCAATGTGACCTTTCACTTATCTCATACACATATGAAGATATTACCACCTTTTATGAAATGCTCCTTAAACTAAACAAAGAAATGATCACTAGAAACTTTGTTTTGATCCTAGTTTGGATACAAATCTCACTGTTTATAAAGTCCACTATTCAAAAGTAGCTTTATCTGAAAAGTCCCACTATAAATTCTTTCTGGGGGAAATAAATAAGTTGAAAAGCAGTTTAAAGAAAAACCAACTATAACACCAAAGAGAAAGAATGATTTTCAACAATGAATGCTTCAGTATCAAATAATGCATTTTTTTCTAAAAATTTTCTTTTTAATTTTAAAAGAATTTATCAGTAAAAAGTCAACAATGTACTTAAATCAAAAGACACATCACCTGAACTTTCTCAATGTAACTGCTATGTTGGTACTAAATCTTCTAGCTAATATTTTAAAACTAATTTGAAAGTAACTTTGCTCCTTAGAAATTTACTCTTTTAGAAATACCTGGACCATGTTAACTTATAATTAATTGATAGCACTGATACTTTCCTTAAAACTAATTTCTGATGAAGCATTGAAAAAGAGAAAGAAATTAAAACATGGTTCCTAAAAGCTCTGCAATTTGTAGCACTGTTTTATATGAAGATATTGGTGAGGGAACTGAAGCTCTCAGGCCATTAGAGAAATAGAAAGCCCAAATGAACAGTCTAGGAATGACTTTCTTATATATACGAAAGCCAGAATCTGTATTGCTGTATGTACACTTATTTTACATACACATGTTTTTATGTGGCTGTGTTAACAGAAAAATTTTATGTCTGAGAGTAAGGTCAGGAAATCATATCTTTCACAGATTAAAGCAGAAAGAGAATGAGATGGATTTAGAAGTGAGGCGGGTCTAAAGAAACAAGACATGTACAGTAACGTTCATTGGGCATCCTGGGGGGTGCCGTGGCTAGGTTTGGTCACTCAGTCACTAACTAGTCAAGCAAGGAAATGCATCTGGAGAGCAGAACTGCTCATGAGCAACCGACCAGTAAATAAAATACATGGTTTCGGCAGCAAGGTCGGTGCAGTTTCTACTACATCATCTCACCTGAAATTATTTAAAAGACAACTGAACTCTCAATAAGATGTTTCACCTATGTTTTACATTTTCTGAAACTTACCAGACTAACTTTATACATCATTTTAAAAATGTACAACTTCAAACTAAGCCAAAAATATAAATGGTGCATCATCAGCCTAATGCCATGTGTTACTGTACTCAAACCAATACTCATTTCTAATCTTAATCTCATAGAAGAGGTAGAACATTTTTATATAAAAGAACAGACCAAAAACCCAAAATTGAAAATGCTTAAAAATAACACTGAATGGCAACAGAATTTCTTAAGTGGAAAATTCTACACCTTACCTCAAGGGAAGTGGGTAGTGGTCAAAACAAAGGTACACTAAAAATAATATTAAATTACCTTAAGATGGATGTGTATTATACAGATATTACACAGATAAAGAGTATATGAAGCAATCAATTCTGCTTGAAGTGATGCTATGCTTACAAGAGAAGCTCCTCACTGCAACAAGCACACTTTTACTTTAGGACAGAAGCTATGTCTAGCATACTGCTGAGGATGGACAACTGCCTGGATTTCCAAAACTTACAATTGCTGAACTTTACAGGTTAAATATGATAGAGCAAAGTTTACCAAATTAAGTGTAAAGAATAAAGGACAGTTGTTCAGAGCTTAGCTGTTAATTTTCTGCCTTGGTAAATTTCAACAACTCTAAACTTCTTATTAAAACAAAATAAAAATTAAAGCAGAAATTGGAAATTGTCAAGCTCTGTTTCACAAGCCTATTTGTCTATTTACATGAAAAACAAATAAGCACTACGGACATAAGAGCTGACAGTATATATAGTCATAGTTTTTACTTTCCAACATTGTTAAATGTATTATTTATAGTAGAAATACAAAAGAGTTTATTGGTAGATGTATACAGAAAAGCTAGGGAAAAAAGTGAAAACTTGGGGCTGGAGTGGGTAAGAGAGCATACTGCTCTGACAGAAAACCCAAGTTCAGTTCCCAACATCCACAGCAGTCAGCTCACAACCACCTGTCAACTCTAGCTCCAGGCGGATCCAGTGTCTCTGGCCTCTGAGGACACCTGCACTCACAAGCATACCCTCATATGATGACATGCAGGTACACATGTAACTGAAAATAACAAATTTTTGCAAAAAAAATTGAAACTTGTTTTCTCTGAAGTGATTTAAAATTTCTACTAACTTGAAACAAACTAAATAAAGCAGGTGTTCAAGAATGAGTAAAAAGTAACAGATACAGACTTCAATCCTCAAAGGGACTCTGGTTATATTCTGAGTAAACATTAAAATGACACTAATTCTATATTTTAATATTAAACGCTACAAAAAATACATGATATTTTAAAGCATTTTTCATTTTATTTAATAGTAAATAAGGTCAATTTTCACCAAACTAGATATCATGACTATTATTTAGTGAATTTCTCTAAACTATAATCGCATCTCAATCCTCAAACATCAGTAATGAATATGGCTTCGCCCAACGTAGGCAAGATACAAATAACAAAAGAATTTACAAAACTTTCAAATCCAATGACTCAAAGAAAAAGACAGAGCCTTTGCAGTGATAAACCAAAAAGATGAAAAATAGAACTTTATTTCTGAAAATGAAATGTAACAGCATTATTCTGATAAAGCTATGATTCAAAAACGCCTAGGTGTAATTAGCCTTGAAGTTTAAATGTAAATATGAAAAGTCAGCACTGAAACTAAAAAACTGTATTATAATGTTAATATTTTTGAAGACCATCAGAGTACTTATAATACCAGGGAATCTAGAGATTAATCTTCATTTATGTGATTGTGCACATGTGGCATATCTGTACCTTACTGTTAGACATAAAATAAGGAAAACAGCATCTAAGTTTACAATAAGTGTAAGAGCATCTATGAAAAAGCCTTATGAAAATGTAAAATTCTAAACAGACATGCCAAGTTCTATATAAAACAATAGCCATTCAAACAATGTAATGACTGCATAATGCTTTTACTAGAGAACTGTATAAAGACACCTGTGCTCCCACTTCACAGGGATACCTAGAACCAGGAAGAAGTGTGGAGGACACAGGATGATTAACAGGCTGGGGGAAGAAAAAAAAAAATCGGCCCTTGATCTTAAGCAGCAATATTTAGCAAAAGTGAATGAAGCCTGTTGATAGTCAGTCATAACAAAACTATTTCCCGTATTGAAAAAGTTTCTCCAGATGAAGAGAAAAATATTTAAGTCTTATTAAATAAAAATTACTGCTAGCACCAAAAGTCTATGTCATCCTATTTAAACATTTTTTAAACTAAAATATACTCTAATCTGATTTAGGTGGAATGGTTACTGCATTAGAAAGCTATAATAAGATAATAGGTAGATTTTTTTTTTGATTAACTACTTCCATTTTCTAACCAATATAAAACCTCACCCATTTCTCTTTTCTGATCAGTTAAAATAAAAATCTCAATCCAAAAAAGAACTGTATTTTGCTCACTTCTTTGTTTTCCTGCCCTGGCTACCAAATTTTAAACTCATTTCAACAAATTCTGCTATTTCTATCTGCAAATGGTATACACAAATCATTCTGAAATCCATGCTGGCTACTGTTTAAGGCACTCTCTTTGTGCTGACCTACCTGTTTCTTTAGAGATCTTTGCTACAAATGCATCAAGGTCTACTGATTTTGGTCTCAGAGGCAATTGTTCAGAATCCAGCTTTGGTTTTGATACTGACTCCATTTCAAATTTTGATGAAATTGTGGAAATGTCTCCATTAATTCTGGAATGAGAAAAACATACATGCAAAAAGAAAACTCACTTGAAGGTAAAATGGGACTTTTAAATTGTGATTCAGTGGTGGTGAAGATTTTTTATGTAACATAATACTGATTACTGTGTGTTCTATAAAACTACTTCCATAAGCATAAACCTCTAATCCTAAAACTGATAACAATAAAAACAGAAATGTAAAAACAGTTTAGTGCATTCACTTATTGGGAATATAAACTTAACATTTAACAGAATTATTAAAGACTATAGAGAAAATATGAAAACAAGTATGTTTTAAAGCACTTAAACTCAGAAGGCACTAGAGCCCGTTAGGTTAAAGGTGAGTAATCCCCTAATTTAAGATTAGGTGAAGCTCACTTGGCTGCAGGAGGTGGAGGAGGGACTGGTTTCTCAGGTCGCTTTGTGTACACGGATCCAGGAGACCTCAGTAAGTTATTGGCTTTGGTGGGTGGAGTAGGCTTTTTCGGTGGGACTTGAGGAGCAGCTGGTTTAGAAGGTTTCTGTTCCAATAGTGGCTTTTCATCTAATGATTAAACAATACTTAACAAGTTATTATCAAAACCACTGAAGTTTTTCTAATTCTTTTTTATTGTTGTTGTTTTTGTTTTTGGTCTTTTTGAGACGAGGGTCTCCCCGTAGCCCCAGCTGGCCTAGAACTCATTATGTAGACCAGACTGGCCTTGAACTCACAGAGATCCACTTGCCACCTCTGCCTCCCAAGTGCTGGGACTACAGGTGTGCCGCACCATACCTGGCAGGAGACTAATTTTAATAAAAAAAGTAATTTTTATTTTATGAGGTGACATTTGCATAGCACAAAACTGCTGATTTCAGGCTAGCTTGGTCTACATCATGAGTTCTAGGCCAGATGGGGCTACAAGGAGACCCTGCCTCAAAAAGACCAAAAATAAACAACAACAACAAAAAACCTGATGATATCAAAGTGTACAACTTAGCATCACTGATCATATGCACAAAATTACGCAACTACTACCTCTGTGTTCTAAAATACTTTACCACCCCAAACAAACTGTTTTCATGAATCAGTTACTTCCCAAACATCCCCACACCAAATCCCTGGCAACTAGCCACTTGCTAGACTATCTCTACAGAATTACCAAATCTGGATAGTTCAGACTTGGGAGATAATGGAATACATAACTTTCGTGGCTCACTTTTTCACAGAGTATGTTTTTGAGGTTCATCACATTATGTATACCTTTTCATGCCTGAATAATATTCTCTTATATACAGCACAATCTGTTCATCCATCCTCTGAAGGACATCGGGTTGCTTCTTCCATGCACTATGGACATTTGTGTATTTGAGTACTTGTTTTTAATTATTCTGTTAGGGTGTATGGTAAATTTGTCTTAACTTTCTGAAGGATCATCAAACTTTTACATAGTGGCTAATAAACAGTTTACATTAATACCAACAACATATAAAAGCTAATATCCACACATGTTCAACAATACTTATTTTCCCTTTTTAAAAATTGTAACCATCCTGGTGAGTAGGAACTAACAGCTCACTGCAGTTTTGACTGGCATCTCCCCCCTAAAGACTGAAGCTAAGGATGTTGAACATCTGGCCATGTGCTTCTTAGCCATTTATATTTCTCCATTAAAAAGACAGTTATTGCCAAGTGTGGTAGCACTTTAATCCCAGCACTTGAGAGGCAGAGGCAGGTGGATCTCTGAGTTAAAGGCCACCCTGGTCCACATAGCAAGTTTCATACCATCTGAGCTACAAGGAGACCCTGTCTCAAAAAGACCAAAAAAAAAACGTTATTTCAGGGGCTGGAGAGATGGCTCAGCAGTTAAAGAGCACTGACTCCCCTTGAAGAGGACCAGGGTCTAGTCTGTTCCATTAAACTGTTTCTCTCGGGTATTTCTCATGGTTACAAAGTCTGACTAACATGGCACTATCTATCTACTATACTACATGCTAGAATCGTGAGGATTTAAAACACACACACACACACACACACACACACACACACACACACAGAGTGGAGTTCAGTCCGGTGGAAGAAAAGGAAATATACTAAAACACAAAGCAAAGATGTGGCAGACAATATGGGAAAGTGCCTATTTTTACACAGAGTAATATGGAAAATAGTGGCAGAGAGTAACATTTTAAACTAGAATTTGAAAACTGAGAAAGAACTACACATGAAAAATTCAAAGCGGAGAACAATCCAGAGGAAAGGAGGATTCCAGGTAATGGGGAGCCTAGCCTATGATGGACTGTGAAGGAGCAAAAAAGAACAATTGGTATTCTACAAGTATCGTGTGGCAGTAGACTAGAATATACAGAGTGAGTGAAAAGAAGGGATGACTTAGATGAGACAAACTGCCAAGTAGCAGGTAACTCAAATTCTGGCCATCAAAACTATGGAAAACATTGTCTAGAAAAGGCTCATCCTTGGGATATAGGTCAGTAGCAGGGCATCTGACTAGCATACCTAAGGTCCAAGTTCAATCCTCAGTATCTGCTTTCTCCACCCTCCTCCCAAAAAGGCTCATTCAGAAAAAAAACAACGTTGCAAGCTGGAATCTAGTTTCCAATTTTCAATAGACAGCCTTTAAACAAGTTGATGTACAATATAGATCATGCACATGAAGTTGTGTATGACACATGCATACATCCATTTTCTTTATGTCCGTAATAAATTCTAAAATCCTGATCATTAGTTTAAGAGCAGGGCAAGATGTAACAAATAAACATAGACTGCTTATCATAGCATTAAAAGGATTTTCATGACCTACAAAACTTCAGATTAGAATTACTGGGAAAATTTTAAGAATATTAGTACCTAAGTTCTACCTATAAAAGTTCTGGAGAGGATCCTAGGTACAATGTGCTTTAAAGACATCCCCCCCAAGTTTTGAATATACAATGCAGACTGAGAGTGTAGATGTCTGTGTGCATGTCACCACCTTTCTAGCTTTTTCACAACCTCTCTGAGGCTCCTACACCAGTTTCCTGAATACATAACTCATCCTTGGCATCTTGTTCCTTTGGGGGCCTACAATTGCATTCACTCTCTGGCCAAGAGATTCAAAAGCTTATTTTTCAAGCTCTTCATTATCATGATGTTTAAGTAGTAACTGTCAAGAGTATCATTTGGAATGTAGCATACATACACAAGGGAATTTTATTCCGCTGTAAAGAAAAATGAATCATGAAATTAGCAGGAAAATGGGTGGATTGAAAAATACACACACACACACACATATGTACATACATGAGGGTGGAGGTGGAGGTTATAAAACTAGAAAAGAGATTACAAGAGGGACAACGAAGTATGGGGGGCATTAGATTACATGTGACACGAAAGCATACAAAAGGCTCTCAGGGATGGGAGAGATCAGATAGATGGGACAGGAGGGAGTATCAACAGAAAAAAAATCCTGTTTGAAAGGGCCATAAAGAAACCTAATGCCATGTATGCAATTAAAATATTTTTAATTAAAGTAAGAGTGTTGGGGGCTGGAGAGATGGCTCAGAGGTTAAGAGCACTGACTGCTCTTGCAGAGGACCCAGGTTCGATTCCCAGCACCTACATAGCAGCTAACAACCGTCTGTAGCTCCAGTTCCAGACCGTCTGTAGCTCCAGTTCCAGATCTGATGCCTTCTGACTTCCACAGCATTGCACAGCATGGGTTCTCTTACACATGTGGGCAATATACTCATACACATAAAAATAAAATAAAATATTTTTTAAAGTAAAGAGTATCATTTTGAGAAATGAAAAATAATTTCAATAAAATCTTCCTGGTAACTAGTAAAGGCCAACTGCCTCATAAAGAAATGCTGAGCGATTTTATGCTGTAATGACAGACGTCTGTTTCACAGGTAGGTAAGCTTAATAAACTACTTACAAAACTACTTAATAAACTACCAATACTGTACTGAAGATGTCAATGTGATCTTTAAATTCAAACTAGTGAATAAATATCAAGATATAAAATACAAATGAACTCTGTCATGGCACTTAACTCAGAGTCTCTGCTACATATTATGTCACAATCGGAAAGGCATTTGAGTTCAATATTTCAAGTAAATGTCTCTAAATGAGTCTTAAAACATGTTTATCTTATTATTATCTTAATTCCACAGCAAAGAACAGTATGTTCAAGGTTTCCTGAGCATAAAAGAAATTAAAAGACTCTTTTTGAGTATGCTTTTCATTACATTTATTCTATTTATTTGTGGGGAAGGACACGCCTGTGTTATAGTGTGTATGTGGAGGTCAGAAAACAATCTGCAAGTCAGTTCTCTCCTTCCACCATGTGAGTCCCCAAAATCAAATGCAGCTGATCAGGTTTGGCAGCAGATGCCTTATCTTGCTGGCCCTAACAATCTTTTGAACAATGATTTCCAAGCAATGCATAATCTAGAGATTACTGACTTATTCAAGACTCTCTTACATTTGCAACAAAATGGAAAAACTAGAGATCATCACATTAATCAAAATAAGTCAGACTCGGGAAGATAAATATAAAATATTTTCTCCTCCCATATGTAGAATCTAGATATTTTTTAAAAGCCATGAAAGCAGAATGGGGACCATTTAGGAAGGAGATAGGATGCAGGATGGACAGGAGGGGCGTGAAGAAGACAGCAATGGAGAGGAGTGATGTGATTAAAGAACATTATAGACATGTATAAAAATTTTAGGCTACAACCCAGTATTTTGTACAGTTAATATATGCAAATAAAAGGGAAAAATTAAAGGAATAAAGAGAATCTATGGTCAACATATGAACTGGAAAACCTACATCATTTCAGTGCATTTTAACTTCCATACTGTTTTTAACTCTTCAGACCCTAAGCACTGCATATATTGACTCAGGAAAAGTCTGCTCCTAAGCAATGACATGGAGTGGATTCCATACTGCAGACAGCATGGAAAAGTACGTACTGTGGATTTGATTATGTTCACTGGGAATTCAATGTAAGGCAAGAGTATCTTTGGGGAATGAGCAGCAAACAAAACATTTTCTAGGCCAAGCACCATGTCATGAACCTACCTGGAGGCTGGAGCAAAAGAACTGTTTGAGCCCAGGAGTTCAAGGCCAACCAAGGCAAGCAGGCAAGCGCCTGTATCAAACAATAATCAAATGTGTGTGTGCATGTGTCTGTGTATTGGTTGTCAAAGTGTTTGCAGTGAAAATCTGTGTGTGCATGTGTCTGCGTGTTTGTGTGTGTAAATGGCAGAAGTATGTAATACAAAGAAAGCAACTGAGTAAATGAGATACTCAGAGGGCAAAAGTGCTTGCATGTAAGCCTGAAAACTTAGGTGCAAACCCCAAAATCCACAGTAGAAGAAGAGAAGAGACTACAAAAGGTTGTTTACCTCCACACATGCTATGGCAAGCACATACCCATACTCACATACATATATCATACACACACACACACACACACACACACACACACACACACACACCCCACAGTAATCAAAAAGCAAAAAAAAAATTTTTTTTAATTAAAATAAGCCAGGCATGGTGG